TATAAAAGAAGGGTGCAAATTGAGAATCTAATTTTCCCGCCGAAATCAGAAATCAACGTCCCAATTTTACTCTAGAAAAAAATGGATAAATCCTGACCGTAAGTAATAATCAAGGGCCCAATTTCAATTTTATAAAAAAATGAAAGATCCTTACCATTGATTTTATTTCAGATCCAAAAGGATTTCTACGCTTGTAACCGCTGAAAACTACGCGACTCTTCTGAAAAACTTCTCGCCGACGCACAACTCCATCATCCCTGCGATCTGCATCCCATTCTCTCCATCGCACAACACCGTCAATCGGAGTTCAACTGCCGACCTCAATCGGTATCCTACTCCCAGACAACAACCGATGCAAATCTTTTAACCGGGAAGCGCGCCTCTGACCCCATCGCCTACAACAAATCCATCGTTGGATGAAGAAGAGGATGGCTTCAAACCTAGCCATAGCAACGACCTGCTCTTAAGATTAAGGATATATTTGGTGTCTAGCATTAGAGAACTCTGTAAGTCGATATTCTTCTTTAAAATTTTTCTTTTCTTAAGTTGAGTTTCTTACTTTTTTTTAAAGACAATTTGCTTCAATTTCGAAAATTTGGATTAAGATCGACGCTGTTTTGGTTGAATATTCATACTGATTCATGTTCCTTAAATTTATAACTATATATTAAAAATTTGTTTAACAATGAATTTATATGTAAAATATGAAATGTAAGGTCTAATCTGTGAGCATTGTGTGCTGAATCTGCTAAAAAAATCTAACCTATGCTGCCTAAATCTTCACAATTCTGCACAATTTTTTATTCTGTTTTTATTCTGTTAGGAAATGATGTCACACAACAAACACATAAAAACAACCGGCCATATCACATATTAGTTGGTATAATATTGGATTAATTTGATTAAAATATATATTTGCTCATAATATATACATTTCTTTGTTCCCTCATAGTTCATCAATTATTTCTCCTTGCCAGGATCCTAGACAACTCCAAAAGAGCTTTTGTAGGATTTTTTTATATGAAAACTTTCTTTACATATCTCCAATTATAATATATTTGATAAAAGATTATGCTATTATGCAGGATCTGCACCCCAATTCAAATTTGAGGTACCATCTAGCTAATTGGAAAGAAAGAGAAATGAGCCAGGTTATCGTATCACAATCATTCAATAATATGGCTAATGATTAACGGATATCATAATTGTTTTGCAAATTCATTGTGTAGTTCTATGAAAGAAAGTGTTAGAACAAAGATGCATAACATCTAAATGTGTGCTTGGAGAAATAATTGGTTACACAACACACGCACTACAATATTCAAAAGGTAGCGACAATGGGAAAATAGAGACGCCGGAAAATGGAACACAGAACCATGTCATACAGCTCACAAAATATTTCTCACTATCCTTACCTTATGAATATTGTAGTGCTACTGATTTTTTTGATGTTGTTGCTGTATGTTGTCTGCTTTACATTATCCTTGGAGGATCAATGTGCTAGAACAAATACATGCATGGTAATGCTTTAATTTTTTTTATCGATTATTCATAGAATTGTGTGCACGTGCTTTTGATCTGTATTGGAACTTTACTTATTATGATTGCTTTTGTTTTGATTTGTGTTAAATGAAAAAGGCCTAATGATCTCCCGCATAATTGAACTAATATAATGAAGTTATTACAAAGGAGTAAAAAAATGTTCTGTTCTTAAATGAAAGATCAGGTGTTCCAAGAATTGAAGCAATAGATGCTTTGGAATAGAGCCTCCTTTTGGTTAAAAGAAAACTAAAGCAAAATTGGTTGAGAGAATTGGAGGTTTTCAAATTACATACCTGTTTTCATAATTATGCCATCAGGGATAAACTATCATTCATCTACATATGGAATTTTGATTATGAAAGAATTGCATTTTTTTCTCTTTGAATTTATAGCTTACCTATGGACTGTAAGCCATCTGGAGATCATGCTGTGCGCATTTGACAATAATCATCATTCTGGGCGAAGGCCAGTTTCGCAAAGCAAAGAAGGCCTTGGTGGATTTGGCTATAAGTGTGCTTGATGAGAAAGAGTCTCACAATACATCCATTTCTCATAGAAACTGTTTCTTCGGGCGTCAAAGGGATTATTGTAACAGTAATACATCTTTAACCCATTTCTGTTCACTATCTTGGAGTGTTTCCAGACACTTGTCAGCATCCAGACAACTCCAAACCATTGGGAACAACATATCTGCCCCAGGAAACAGCGAAATTGTGGCTTCCAATGGATTGGCATTGTCTGTCTTCACTATCTAAGAGCTATGTTATTTACTTTGTGATGTGAGCCCTTGTACCTGCGATCCCTTGTCAGGATCGCGGCCTCCAGACCCATTTCTACGTGAACAAACAGCAGTTCGTCTGGGCGGGCCCACTCATGGCCCTTCATGAGAAAATCCATGAGGAGTGAAAGGACAGGAGAAATGCTTGCGGGATGTTGAATGAGATTCATAAGATTGAGAAATCTGTTCGTCGCTTGAATGAATTGATCCACACTGTTCATTTTCCACTGAGTGGGGAGGGAGGGAGAGGCAAGGAAGATAGTGTACCGGGTTCGGGGCGTGTTTGGCGCGCTGACTGATGGGTTGAAGCCGTTGGATAGCTGAGTCAGGGAAGTGTTCCTTATTAAGATCCTTCGTTGCAGGACTGAAGAACTTGAATGATACTCCGTAATAAATTGGTCTATAGCAGTTTGATTATGTTATGAAAAAACAAATAAAAAAATCTGTTGTAGCATAGACTTCAAGTGTCACATCTATTAACTGTATATATTTATATGCAAATCATGTAAAGAAATTAGTAAAAAGATTGAATCTTTCTTTATCAATGCTAAATTGTTAATGCTGGTGTTAGTCTTTTGGAGAATTAAAATCTGCTTGGCCTTTTTGGTATTTATCTTTTGAGTTCTGTTTGAACCTTTTGTTGGTTGACCACAGATCAAATTGAATTGATTTCAAGGTTTCTTAATTTCAAGGTTTTACCATCTATTTTAAATTTGGGTACTATACTTTTCCAAAATAGTACTACAAAATCTTCTTCAGATAATATAATGCTATCTTTCATGTGTTCGGTCTCTCGTCAATACATATTTGATGATGTTTTTGATGACATAGTATTTGGTTATTTGACTTTGGTTGCTACTCCTTCCGTCTCAGAGTATTTGTCCACTTTTGACTTTTTTCGGTAAAAATTGGTAAACTTTGACCTTAAATTAAATAAAAATGATATTAGATATTGATATAAAGATAGTTTTATTAGATTTATTATATAAAATATTTTCAAAATATTATTTCATTTTATCAATATACAATATATATTTTATTTAATTATAAGTCAAAGGTTGAAAATGGTTGACTGAAAAAAGTCAAAACTGGACAAATACTCTGGGACGGAGGTAGTATTTGGTATGTTCAAGTGTAACCAGCCGTATGTTCGGCATGTTTGTTTGTGAGGTTGGTCGCATAGTCGTGCCTCAGTCCAGCAACACGACCTCCAAGTTTGGGATGCTTGTTAGTCGTCCCTGTGTCACCGCGTGGGAGTCATTCGTCATCAAAATTTATTGTTCGTTTGCAGGGCCGATCACCTTCGTTCGTTGTGGGCACGGCAGATCAAGTTCAAGTTGTTTATTAAGTTTTTTTTACTCCTAGTTTTTTTAATTGTCCAAGTTGTGCATTCGTTAACCTCATGTTCAACTTGAGGGGGAGTGTTAAGGAATGTAGTAAGGTTTGTCATTAACGGGCTCATTCTTGTTGGATTTGTAATTAGGTTATGTTCTTGTAGCTATTATAAATAGCGGATCTGTGTGTAATCAAATGACTCAAGTTTAGATCTAATTATATTTCTACAACATGGGTAGATTCTGGTTGTTTTCATAACAACTGTAGTCTTTAAAACAAGTGTGGTAGATCTTATAAAATGTGTCAGACACCTATTTCTAAACTAGTTTGGAAACTTGGGAGGGACAAATAACAATACGAAGCAGCATTAAAAATTTGGTATAGGAAGAATGTGAATAACGAGTTGAAAGATTTGGTGAATTACGTATAAACATTTTCAAACTTAATTTATTTTGGAGTATGCAAAAATATTTCTGTTGGATAAAATATAAGTAATCTGGAACGACTATTGAAGCTCTGTTGTTTCCAAACATACCCTGTGCCATGTATTTATAGGCAATATTAGGAATGGACATGTTGTTAATGAAACGACACAACTTTTTGTGTAACATTTGAAGGTTTGCATTCAAACATACGGATGTTTATGGCGATTAATAACGCACGATTATTTTTATAGTTTTGGGCGAACAATTATATCTTATCACAAAATATTCGAATCTTTAGGATCAAAATTCAAATGTATTGGCCCGTTTTACAAATGGTGCTAGAGATAAATATTACATTCGAAAATATTATTTTATACATTCGAATGTACATTACTTTAAACTCTGGTTATGAAAATACAAAGGATTTGCATAAACAGCTCTACCCATGCCACGGGCTGCCGCACCTTGCACCCCGCTACCGAGGGCTGCTGCCCCAGACCCCGCTATGGAATTTGTAATATCGCTATGGAATTTGTAATATTGTTGAAGAGCGTGCACCCCGCCCCTTCGAACTTGTTAATAACGTCTATTAAAATTCTCATCCATTCTAAATAAATCTAATCACTATCTTCGTCTTTGAGTATTTGTTCAGTTTTAACTTTTTCGGTCAACTGTTTTCAACTATTGACATATAATTAAACAAAATATATATTGTATATTAATTAGATAAAATAATTAGTATTTTGAAAGTATTTGATTTTTTAAATCTAATGAAACTATTTTTGTATCAATATCTAATATAATTTTTATTTAATTTGAAGTCAAGGTTTACCAATTTTGATCTAAAAAGTCAAAAATTGACAAATACTCAAGGATGAAAAAAATATATAAAATAGCCGATGACGCTAAGTGAAGTGTAGTATCTCAACCAAAGTGTATGCTCTAAATTTTAAAACCTTTGTTAGAAGTGGAGTATCCGCATCAAAGTTAATATGAACAAGTCTAGTTTCTGAACAAGTGAAGTACCTATCTCCCATCCGTTTAAAATACTACTACTACGTATTCATAAAGATATCTACCGACAGAGCTCAATATATGTACCAGGCGAAAAGCTAAGAAAGCATAAAAGAATTAAAATGGAGAATAATAATGGAAGTAAGAGTTGGGCATTTAGAGGGAATGAGAAGCTTAATATAGACACAACAGATACCATTGGAGGCACTCTATACTGGCTGCGCCACACCATTTCTAACAATGAGGATGAAAGGCCATTGATTCCATTCAGCAATGGCGATCCCGCCATTTTCCCATGCTTCAGGACTAGCCTCAGAGCTGAAACCGCCGTGGTTCGCGCCCTCCAATCCGCCGAATTCAATACCTACTGCCCTTTTTTCGGCACTCTTCCTGCAAGAAGGTGATGATGAGTAATATGTACTGTAGAATTGTAACATTTGATTCTGTCAGGGAATTCAACCAAAAGTTTAGACTTGTGATTGTAGGTTCTTGAAAGGATTTTTTGTATTCTAACAATATGCAGGGCTGTTGCGGAATATCTGTCGAGGGACCTTCCTTACAAGCTCTCACCGGACGATGCTTATATGACATTGGGATGCACTCAAGCAATAGAAGTAATAGTGACAGTTCTTGCTAGTCCCGGAGCTAACATTTTGCTTCCCAAACCTGGTTTCCCAACCTTTGAAGCCCGCTGCTCTTTCAGCAATCTGGAGTTTCGCCATTTCGATCTTCTTCCTGACAAAGGTTGGGAGATGGATCTTGATGCTATTGAAGCTCTTGCCGATGAAGATACCGTTGCCATAGTTATCATTAATCCCGGAAGTCCTTGTGGGGTTGTTTTCACCTATGACCATCTTAAGAAGGTAGTGGTAGACTCCACAAAATGAACACTTGTTTACATTTAGAGAGTTCTTATGATGTACAGAGTATGAGGTTAAATAATGGCATTTCAAAAACCACCTTTTTTTCCTTGCTCTGTTGATCCAATTTCAGGTAGCGGAGTTGGCAAAGAAGCTTGGGATTCTGGTGATTTCTGATGAAGTTTATGAGCACCTCACTTTCGGGGACAATCCGTTCATACGGATGGCCACTTTTGGATCCATTGTGCCTGTTGTCACACTTGGTTCTTTGTCTAAGAGATGGGCAGTTCCGGCGTGGCGAATGGGTTGGCTTGCAATCTGTGACCCTACTGGTGCTCTCAGAAATTCAGGGGTTCTCCCACTTTTGCCCCTTTCCTCCAATTTTAACAACTACCCGAGCTTTAAAAGTTCCATTTTAACCATGTTTAAATTCTTCTTGGTAATCTCAGATCACAGAGCAAATTATGGCCTGCCTCAGTCTGTACTCAGATCCTGCAACATTCATTCAGGTACTATAATAAATATTTGTTACCCTGTGGTACCAAAAGTAAATTATTTAACGCCGAGTAAGACCCAGTAAATCATTGATGCGTTCAACATGACAGGCAGCCCTTCCTGAAATTCTATTGGATACAGAAGACGAATTCTTCGCGAATCGCCTAGATCTACTTAGGGAAGGAGCCAACGTTCTGTTTGAGAGAATGAAAGAAATCCCTTGCATTCGTTGCGATCGCAAACCTGAAGGAGCTATTTTTGCAATGGTGAGAAAAACACTTTAAAAACTCTGTGAAATCAAACTAATCGGTGATGGGGTTTATGAACAACAGTACGTAATGGCAGGCTGAGTTGAACCTGTCACAACTAGAAGACATCGAAGACGACGTCGATTTCTGCTTCAAGTTAGCAAAAGAAGAGTCTGTTTTAATGGTCCCTGGTAACGAAAAAGATCAATTGATTCCTCCTATATAGTAAAGGAAATCAACTGTCAAATTGCAAACTTTGAGTGAAGTGGTTTTGTTTTATGCAGGTGTTGTAGTTGGAGTGAAGAACTGGCTTCGGTTCTGCTTTGCCATAGAACCATCAGCTCTGGAAGATGGCATAACAAGGTTGAAAGCATTCTGCCAGAGGCATGCAAAGCGGCAGTGATGCATCATTCTGATGCTAAATAATGTCACATATTCGCGTTAAGGAATCAATTCAAATAAAAGTTGGTGTTTGTTGTGCGTGGAAACCTTTGAAAGGTTTTTTTTTTTTTTACTTTTATGTTCTTACGTTATGATTGTGTTGTATTGGACGAACGGAGAAAACGGTATCCAGTCTATTTTGATGAACTGCTCACTCTTCTTCATGGTATGTGCCTCTGGCATATATTTAGATGTACTCCGAGGAAGTTAGTTTGCACAATTTGGTTGTCTTGTAAAGGTTAACATGGGTACATTCTGGTTGTTTTAATAACAAGTGTAGTGCTTAAACAAGTGTAGAAGATCGTATAAAATGTGTCATAAACCTATTTCTAAACTAGTACTCCGTATCTTTTAAAATTTCGGGAGGGACAATCACACTGCAAAGCAGCGTTAAAAATTTGGTATACGAAGAACATGAGTAACCACTTGATACACTTGACGAATCACATATAAACACTTTCAAACTTAAGTTATTTCGTGGTATACCAAAATATTTCGGTGGAATAAGACGTGAGTAATCTAGAACGACTATGGAAGTTCCGTTGTTTCCGAACATGCCATGTGTCATGTATTTATGGGCAAAACAAGGAATGGACATGTTGGTTGATGAAACAACACATTTCGTGTAACATTCAAATGTTTGCATTCAAACATTCGAATGTTAATGACGGTTACTAACGAACGGTTATTTGTATAGTTTTAGGCAGACCATTGCATCTTATCGCGAAACATTAGAATCTTTGGGGTAAAAAATTCCAATGTATCGGCCTGTTTCAAAAGGGTGCTAGAGATAAGCATTACATTCGAAAGTATTATTTTACATTCGAATATACATTACTTTGAACTTTGGTTATGAAAATCAAAAGGATTCTCATAAAAAGCTCGATCCATGCCACGGGCTGCCGCGCCTAGACCCTGCTATGAAATTTGTAATATCGTTGAACGAACATGCACTCTGCACCTCCAAACTCGTTAATAACGTCTATAAAAAATCTCGTTCATTCTAAGTAAATCCAATCATATAAAATATATGATGACACTAAAATCAATAGCAGTAATACAGTATTTGAACAAGTGTAATGCCTACTATGCAGTGTAGTATCTCAATCAAAGTGTATGCCCTAAATTTTAAAACCTTTGTTTGAAGTGCAGTATCTGCATCAAAAGTTAATATGAACAAGTCTAGTTTCTGAACAAGTGAAGTACCTATGTGTGTAATGGAGTACTCCGCATCTCATTTATCAAAGTGCATGCGCTAAATTTTAAAAACCCAAGTACCTACATCAAAGTCTATAATTTGAATCAAATGCATGAATACGACTACAGCTTAAACCAGTGAGCTGAGGTAGTAAGCTTGTGGCACTAAATACAAGTTGATGGCATTACTGTTGAGCAAAGCACATATTTTGAACTGTTTGTTACCTAAACTTTAGTTTTGAACTCAAAATCATGTAGAATATCCCCAATTTGCGGGGAAAAACGGCGTACACACCATCTCAGAACACAAAATCATAGAAACACGTAGAACTATAAGAATGAGGATAGAGTAGTCGTCCGTGTGAATAGCATGTTCAAGAGAGGACATCTCTGGGTTCAAACATCATCTCTTCTTCGGCCACAGTACCCCTCACACAGAGTCAAGAACCAGAGTCCTCTCCATACTTTTGTCAAACGTACCATGACGGGTCTATCTTCTCTAAGTAAAATCGTTGAAGATCAAAATCGAATCTAGAAGAGGATTTTACTTCCTCATTCGTAAGCATATGGGTGGGAGGGGGAAAAGATTCTAAACTAAAAAAAACTTGACTTAGAAGATGGAACGAGGGAAAGAATGAAAAATTTTTGTGGGACGAAGTAAATGAGAATATGAGACATTTCTAATTAGGATTTTCTCGAATCCTGAATAGAGTGATTAATTACCACTGTAACTCTCATCATATCACTCACGAGACAACATTGGTGCCGATAACAATATCCTCGTTACAGACCTTCCAAATATATTTAACCCCAAAATATAAGCAGATGGGCAAGAAAAGCGCGTAGGGAAAGCATACTTACTCTAGTCGATCTGTAAACGGTGTGTCTTTCAATGGGTTTTAAGGATAGTAATTTGATCAAAAGTTTAGGAGTTTCCACTACACATACAACTTTCCAAGAAAACGGAGAATTCTCATAATATTACACCCATGGCTTGCTTGACTTTGATCAAACCTGGGCGAATGTCCCTCGGCAGTAAGAATCTCTTGGTTTTACAGTACTTTGGAGGGTCTCTCTTTCTGGGACTGAATGAGTCACACTATCTGTGATGTGATAATAGACTTGGGAACCACATAAACACATCATAAGTCAGTCTTGCGTGAAAATGATGGGAGGGGAACTGCTTCCTGCGGACGAAGAATGACCAGAACCCCAAACATCCCCAGCATCGGAAGCACGAGAAGCCATTTCAAGAGCTTGTAATAGTGCATGTGGAATGAGATGGAGAAGTCATCATAGAAATAAACTCCATTCTTGTCCACCATCTCCACCACCACGGTCCCACCAGTCCTAACCGCCACTGTTGGCAGTTTAATCCGCTGCTTCCCGGGCACCCTGTATATCTGGTTCTGCTTCATTGTCCTCTCCCCTTGATAATTTCCAGGAACCAACAAGCTTACCTGTTTTTAAATTGACATCCCATCTATATCAGACAGAAAATCCCATGGATAATTGCAGTATAACATAATAATGCTTTGCTTAGTTGAGAAATGAAGCCAAGAAGAAAAATTATGAGAACAAAGAGTGGACTTTGTGTGATGTTTAGTACGCAGTAGAGAAAAAGGAGAGAAATGTAAATTACTTTGTAAAAAGTATCCTGAAATTTAAAACTAATTTAAAAATTAGTGACAATTTAAAGAAAAAAGGAACTAAAAAACGAAATAAACTACGGAGTATATCTCATTTCTTCTCATCTTCGGAACAACAACAACAGACCCCGTAAAATCCCACAAAAAATAAGGTTTGGATGTGCGCAGACCTTACCCCTAATTTGTAGTAGAGAGGTTTGCAATAGACCCCTGGCTCAAATACAAAAGTACGGATAAGAGAAAACCAAAAAATACAGGCAAAGAAACCAGAGAAGCATGAACAAAGTACGGTCACATGCAAAAGTAGCACACAAACCGACTCTAGCAACTAGACTCAAAGCTTTAAAAACACACAAGCACAAGCTACAGGCTAAGGCAAAATAACACAACAGCATTAACTACAAACTAAGACCCGCAGATCTAACCAATTGTTTTAATCCTAGATCTCCAAGTGTTCCTACCTAAAGGCATATCCTCGATTTCAGTCTAATTACTTTCTTCCAACTCTTCCTAGGTCTACCTCTACCGCTTCTCACATCCATTACTGCAAGCCTCTCAAATATTCTTACAGGATGTCTACACTCATCCCACTAATCACTAATGTGCCCAAACAACCTTCGTCTAGCTTCTCGCAGCTTAACCTCCACAAGTATCAATTCCTCCTTTCTCCAGATAACTGAGTTATAGATCTTATTTATCTTTGTATGAGCACACATCCATCTCACCTCTCGCACTTGAAGCTGACGAACATGAGTTTTCTTCACTGCATAGTACTTTGTCTTGTATAACATACAACAACTACAATAACCCACTAGAATCTCACAGGAGCATAGTTGTGAAATGCACATCATATGAGGCACAGGGCTCTGAGCATTCTTCCTGGTGATGCAGGCGATGTTTGTTATGCGAGCGCATACCTGCACATCAGCACAAGCGACGCGACTCGATGCGATAAAATGAGCGCATCGCGAACATGGATTATGTTTTTTTGTTTATATTTTTTTTAGGGTTGACTCAGCCAAAACTTTCACTTCACTGTGTTCCTTTCTGCGGCTTTGTTTCTTTCACCACTTATCGCCTTGGCTTCTTTTCTCTGGACTGACTTTGCTAAGTTTGCTTCCTCCCCACAAAGATTTTGCTTCTGCTCTCTTTGAACTTTAAGTTTTTTATGTTAATGGTACCGCGTGCGACTTTGATTCTTGGTTGCTTTCTGAAAGTTTATTAATTTACGCGTATGTTTTTTACAATAATATACTACCTCCGTCCAGGTGTATTTGTCCAGTTTTACTTTTTTGGGTCAAATTGAACGAACTTTGAACCTCAATTAAATAAAAATGGTAATGTATTTTAGTATAAAAATTATTTTAATAGATTTTTCTTGTTAAGAACTATTAAAATTTTAGTTTATTGTATTGATATGCAACACAAATTAAGAGTAATTGAGTATTAAAGGTTGTCCAGTTTGACTTGAAAAAGTCAAACTGGACAAATACATTGGGACAGAGTAAATATACACACACACACACATATATATATTGTTGCTAATTTACTAAATTTAGAGCTACTATGCTACCGCGCCATAACTTGTGCCTCATGTTCGTGATAAGTGTGCATTAATGGCGCATCGCGCATCTAGGCACCACACCACCTTGGTGCATCGGTGCACATCGCGCGTTAAATAACTATGCATGGGAGTAGGTTCTGAAGAGGATGTGTGTACGCCTATTCGAAAGTAGAGAGGCTATTTCCAAGAGACCCCCAGCTCAAGTAAAAGTGTAAAACATACAATAAAACCACAGTAGAATCTCATAGGAGTAAGGTCTCTGGGGAGCCTGCCCCATATAACATAGCCAGATAAAATTTTCCTTTCACGTTTGTTGTAATCTTCTTGTCACAACTGACACATGAAGCTAGTCTCCACTTTGCCCAAGCGACTCCAATACGATGAACATCCTCATCTATCTCCCAATTTGTTTGGATCATACTTGTCTCTTTTAAGCACTGGGTGTAAATCAATCGCAACTACCACAGAAGCAACACCTAGGTTACACAGGTTCGGCAATTAAGTGCAATTTGCCATATCAGATTCGATGCAGGGACGGGGACGGCGGAAGACCAATTGAAACCATTTCTGATTGGACAGGAAGCGTCTGAATTTCGGCAAGATGGAATCGGGAATATGGGGACAGTCCAGGTTGGGATTCCCACTTCAACCCGCCCCTAAAATCCCTTCAGTTTTTTAAATTTTCCTAGTCTAATTAGACTTTAAGCCTAATAGGTCATTAAGGTAAAATAGAAATTAGTAATTTTTTTTAATGCAAGAACCAAAGCATATAGAGACTACGACTCTACGAGAGTAACAATCAGCAGCCTTCCACTCATCCTGAGTTCGTTGTTTGTGGTAATTTTGGTAATACAAGTATTAAGTTATTCAACATTTTATCATATCCCATACGTCATTAGAATGTTTAATGCTAATTAAGCATTATTTTTTACATCTAGAGTCCTATATTTAGTCTTTTAATATTTTTTTCCCCGTATCCTTGTTGTCCCCGCATCCTGTATTTTAAAAAGACGCTTTTCGTCCCCGTACATGCACCTGCACCCATCCCAGTGCAACCTAAAGCAACACTTCATGCACTCTGTCTTAGTTTTGCTCAATCTGAAACCTTTAGATAGCAAGAACTGCCACACTTCGAACTTATCATTGAATCTCTCACGAGGCCCATACGTCTAGCTTATCACTAGCAAATAGCATGCACCACAGTACCTCCCCCTTGATATGTTGTGTGACCAATGCAAATAGGAAAGGACTAAAGGCAAACCCTGGCGTAACCCCATCTCCACCAGGAAGGGATCAGAGTCACCGCCAACAAACAGCCTTCACCCTGGTCATTGCCCAGCATACATGTTTTTGACGGCATGGATGTAAGTAATTGAGATTTCATTACAAAATCTCCCTTGGAATCCTATTGTATGTCTTCTCCAAGTCAATAAACACCATGTGTAGGTCCCTCTTTTTGTCCCTGTACTTTTCCATCACTCTCATCAGGAGGTGAATGGCCTCCGTAGTCCAGTCAGGCATGAAACCAAATTGATTCTAAGAAATGCTCGCCTATGTTGCACGGAAACTCCATATAGGCTGCCGTACCCGTTTCGGACACCTTGGACACGCCGACACGCCACGGACACGCCTGGAGACGTCTCGGAAACTCCACGTGGCGTTTCTGTAATTTTAATTTTTTAAAAAGAGAAAAAAACTCCAAGGAAACGGCTGGGACACGCGTGTCTCTTTTAGGAAACGGCAGGGACACCTCTTTTTTAAAAAATGGGGTTCTTTTTATAAATTTTAAAAGTTTTGGAACTGACTCAAATTATAAAAAGTATTATCTGGCCCTAAATCTTCATCGCTCCTCTGTGTTACGCGGCTATCATATTCATCGACAATAGACAACGGCCCTTGAAGAAGCTTTACGCAGCTGGTTGGCCAACTACTCGCCGACAAAGGGCGCGACATCAGGTGAAGTGTTCTCTCCAAATAAGCTTCTCGCCGACAAAGGGAGAAGCTTACGCCGCTGGTCAGTGACTTCTGGATTTTATGTTATTTATTTTGAACTTATTTATGCTTTAATATGTTTTGTAATGACTAAATTATGCTATCTCTTTCGAACTTATACTTTAATATGTTTTGTAATGACTAAATTATGATATGTCTTGTGAACTTATACTTTAATATGTTTTGTAATGACTAAAATATGTTATGTATTGTGAATTTGTTTACATAATTTTATTTATATATATAATTTTTATATATAAATTTGGCGTTTCCCCGGCGTTTCGTCTCTTCATTTTTTCAAAATAGCCGTTTCGGCGTGTCCGTTTCGTTTCGTCTCCGTCCCCGTTTCCGTTTCAGTGCTACATAGATGCTCGCCTTCATCCTCAGCTTAGCCTCAAGGATACGTTCTCAAACCTGCATTGGTGTGCCTAAGTAGTTTGATGCCTCTATAATTATCACTATCAACTTCACTCATCAGGCATACTGTTGCCCACAACTTTCAGAATTCCACGAGAATCTCATCCTACCCTCATCCTGGGAATGGCCCTCACCATCTCTACCTGACAATACCCATAATCCTGATGCCTATCAGTTTGCCTCCCAAAATGCCAAGAAACTTAAAACACCCATATGACCAACATTTTTTATTCATCTTATATTCCTCTCCTAACCAAACAGAAAATATTGTTTCTTACATTCTCTCTTCACTCCTTAAATACTTCTTTCCTCATAAGTTATCTTCAAACCAAAAAAAGGTAGGTAGGAATTTTACCGTGACATTATATGGAGCTTGAGACCCAGATGGAAACCTGTGTCGATCTACGATCTCTATTTCAACCCAGAAGTTTTTTCCCTCCTCATCACGGAATACTCTAGATGATGGAGTAACATATACACCTTCACGATTAAAGCGATATGCAGCATTGTTCCGTCCCTGATTAGATGATCTCCAAGCCTGCAACCAATACACATAATATCAGACATAATTATCATCAACAGTGAAACAAAAAAGGTCAATTGGCAAAGCTACCCACTTTGAGGGGATGGTGTGCAGAAGGAGTCGAGAAGCAGAAGACGTTTCCATTCATTGTTGTCACTATGAGATCAAGGTCATCTCCTCCGTCAACATTATCAGCCAGTACCATGCTGTATCTGTTATCATCCGCAGACAAGCAAAGCACATAATTCTGAAGTTCCAATGAGAAGCTAAAAAATAGTGTAGGTGTGTGTACACATATGGTTAATACGCGAGAGTAGAAGCTTACGAAGTTTCTCCAATATCCACAACATCGGCACATGATGTCGGTCCATCTATTAGATACAAATATCCATCAAATGATGTAGTGACAAGAGTAAGTCCTTTCTTCTTATCTCCTCTCTTGCTCAGGTCGACTAGAAGGACTTGATTCATCACCCTACCATGAGTTCGATAAGGGTATGGCCGCACAATCGAACCATCCTTGCCACTTAAGACATATATATTGCCCGAAAGTGTTGGAACAACAATATCGGTATTGCCATCTCCATCAACATCGCCTACTGTGGGACCCTGTGAAAATGTGCATGAAATGCATAATATATTAATCAACGACAACAACCCAGTAGAGCCCCACAAGTGGTCATGCATAATATATTCAGTAAGAAAATTCAACAGACAAGATGCACTGCATATATACCTGGGGAATGAGACTCTTGAGATGTGTTTCCCATATTTCTTTGCCTTGTGCAGTCCATGCGGCTACATTTCCATGCGTGTCAGTTGTGACTAGCTCAATCTTGCCATCATCATTGATATCAGCAGCAACTACTCCCCCTTGGATTTCCGCCATTTCAAGAGGAAATTTCTCCCTCACTTTGCCTGATATGAAGTCTTGTCACTTCTATACAGCGATAAAAACGATAGGAAGAAACGAAGAATACCGATACCAAATAGGAATGGGTATGTTGTCTGGAACTATATTAACTGTTTGAAACACAATGGATTCCACTAGTGTACCAGACCCTGCCTGGATTAAATTCTTTCTTATGGAGGTTGCAACAGGAAGGGGATCCAGCATAAAACATGGCCACTACTCTTTTTGCATGAATTTATAGGGTTAATTAATTTCATACAACGAATTCGCACTATGCATTAATGCCACCAAATCTAACTAGTTCAGATTAAGGTTTTGATAGTGATGATAATGGTGGTGCTGCCTAAGTTGGCCAAATTTCAGCTACAATTCTTATATTGACAAAGATAGTTTCCAGTGGTTCATGAATTCATTATTTGCAACGAATTGGCTTGAGAACAAGTCCAATTACAAGGATTATATTCATTAAATAATTAAATTAGGTTAATTTGCTTTTGTATAATTTTCAACTATTGGTCTCTATCCCAAAATAGCTTCACTCACACACACACAGTGACACAGGCACATTTTAACCTCGCCTAACTCCTACAAGCCCACACCTTCTGGTGCACTCTCACCTCTCCTCTTCACATGGCCGAACAGTTGCAGCCTCGCTTCTGTCATCTTGTCCATCACAGAGACCATTGTTTTTAAAGGCACACCACCGCGAGGGGGCCTGGCTTCTGTCATCTTGTCCACCACAGAAACCATTGTTTTTAAAGGCGCACCACCGCGAGGGGCTAAGGCGTAAAGGTTCCGGATTTAAGCCTCATAAGCTTAAGGCTCACATTGAAATTTTGAGGCCTACGCCCCAAGTGCAGGGAGGCAAGGCGTGGATGAGAATTAAGCCTTTGATTTTACCATTTATCAGGAACTTATAAATGTAATTAGTCATTTTTATATACTATTGGGCCTGGACTTTCTAATTATTTATTTTACTTTATGTTTGGCCTTTCTAACACCAAAATAGAATTTTCCTTAATCTCTAACACCTAAATGTAATTAGCCATTTTTTGATCTCTCAGTCTTTAGTACTTCACTCAAGTGACAATTCTCTTTAATGGCCAGGGGGGATGCAATCTGTAACCAGGTTTTTTTAATGTAAAAGTTGATGCAATGGATGATTCACTTAGTTTTGAGTAGTTAGAAACTTAGAATCTAAGCCTAAAGCATGTATATCATGCATATTTTATCTTTCTATGTGCTAAGGCATAATGTATTTCATATTTTATCATAATGTATATATTTTATTATTTTATTTAATTTTAAATTAAGCCTTGCGCCTCATGACACTAGGTCAACCCCTTCGAGGCCTGACTTTTCCTTTCAAAGCCTTGACGGAGATCGCTCCAACTTTAAGGAAAGCGTAAAGTTCTCTATGGGACAAATGGACTAAATAGTACCCCCCCCCCCCGTCTCATATCGTTACTCATTTTTACTTGGCACACTTTTCAATGTAAGATGAAAAAATGTTTGTCTTTCCATGTGTGCCCATAGTGGTGTAGTAAAATTGAAGATATATGTAAAAAAGGTGAATAGTGCAAAAGAAAGGGTAAAATAGTCTTCTAGTTGTTAAAAGGCAGAATAGTCTTTGCATGTAGGAAAATAATTGGAAGAACAAAACAAATGCAGATCTGTTTATAAAATACTCTGTTTATATACTCCAGATCTGATTTTTTATTGTGAACTACATTCAGGAATTCTATGTTCCTGGATTATTTATAGACATCAACCAACACAACTTTTGGTACTAATCAACACATCTATTGCTAACTAATACAACTTTTAGAAATAACTACCTTTAACCTCCAGAAATAACTACCCCTGTCCCTTTTATTTTTAAAATTTAAATCTAAACTAATAACTTATGACCAGGAATTAAACAATACGATTAAATCTAACAATCACCCCCCTAATCGTTGTTTGTTCACACTAATCTTCACAATAATGTTGGTTCATCATCATCTTCAATCAAATTTGCAATGTCTTCCTTTTGATCCCATTTTGGACATTTGTTCAAAAAATGTCCTAACTCATTGCACTTGAAACACTTAATGTGACTCTTATCCCGCTGAAGCCGACCGCCATCCTGACCTTTCCCGGACCCCCGACCTCTACCTCGGCCACGTCCAAAGTCTTCTCGGTTTGAGCTCCAGCAACCACAATGCTCACATTTCTGCTCCTGAACCTTCTCTTTTCCATCACCTTTAGTGAATAATAGTTTACCATGTGTATCTCCTTCCTCAGTTGGCTTTCTGATGCGTTCCTCGAATGCTTTCAATCTTCCCACAGCTTCTTGAAACGGCATTGTGTTAATGTCAGCAAACTGTTCAATTGCAGCAACGATTTGTATGAACTTTTCAGGCACAGAACCCAAAAGCTTTCGAACCAATCTTTTGTCTTCAAATGCAGACCCAAGGTTGTTTGCTTGTGTTGCAAGTTGACTAATTTTACTTGCAAAATCATCAAGTGACTCATTGTTCTTCATCTTTAGAGTCTCAAAATCTGATTCAAGTGTCTGTAATCGCGCCGCTTTAACCCTGTCAACACCAACGAAGCGAGTCTTCAAAGCATCCCAAATTTCTTTTGCTTCCGTAAACTGAGCAACTTGTAGTACGATCTCTTCTGGCAAAGCTTGAAACAGATATGCTATTGCCATATTGTTCTTCTTTGGATCGATTTTTGTTCCTGGTTCGATCACCTCCCAAAGCCCATTAACATTAAAAATTGCTTTGATCTTCACGGCCCAAATAGTGTAGTTTGTAGCAGTTAGAATTGGAACCTGAAAAGATAGTGAACTATTTTCCCTTGTAGTCACAATCTGTCTGTTGTCTTCCATTGCACGACTTTAATTCCTTTGACAATTTTCACAAAATTCTTAACTTCGATTCCTTCCCGGGTTGTAAGCCACCTGCAATCAACCACCAACCAGAAAACAAGCCCCAGCTTTTCTGTCTTCCAAGCCACTAAACGAAAGCAACCCCGCTGATTCGTTTTTCCCGCAGTGTTTGGTTGGAATGCTTCTGCCAAAGGAAAAACTAGCCACTTGCTATTCTTGTCCTAGGCGAGGAAGAGAATCTTGTCGAAGATTTTTGATCTGTTGTCAAGGCAGATCTCCCTTTTCTTGCCGCTGATCGCACACTCTCCGATACCAATTGTAGGAAAATAATTGGAAGAACAAAACAAATGCAGATCTGTTTATAAAATACTCTGTTTATATACTCCAGATCTGATTTTTTATTGTGAACTACATTCAGGAATTCTATGTTCCTGGATTATTTATAGACATCAACCAACACAACTTTTGGTACTAATCAACACATCTATTACTAACTAATACAACTTTTAGAAATAACTACCTTTAACCTCCAGAAATAACTACCCCTGTCCCTTTTATTTTTAAAATTTAAATCTAAACTAATAACTTATGACCAGGAATTAAACAATACAATTAAATCTAACATTGCATTTAAGGGAAATGGGAGAAAGATGGGGTGAGTAATTAGTTACAATCATTAAGTTGGGCCAAGTATGTAAGCTCAGAGAGATTAATCTTATTCCTTTTGAAACTTCGAGAAGCCCATTTAAAAAAGTTCTTGTGTTCTATAAATTTTGATTAATGTGGAAGCCTAGACTAGTTCATTATTGTAGCACCACGTAAAGTCTTGCATCTTGATGCTTGTTTCTCAACAGGTAGGCCTTCAAGACATTTCAGGTATTTCTTTCCATTGAACATTTGAATGCGTGAGCAAAAGGGGTAGTTTCATCTACTGCATTGTGTCCTCTTTCTATTTAGTGGGTTCACATCAATTTTACTTGCATAATGTTTTATTAAAGATCCTAGAATTCATATTACTCAATTCAGTCCATCAGTAATACAACCTAGTTGGGATGTTGTGGGGTGGCTAGAAAGTTCCCCTGCTCTATGACTTTATAACTCTCAGTTATTACACATTAGCATGCCTTTGTTCAAAGAATATATCCCTCTGTCTGGCACTCTGCTTAGCTCCTACAGTCCTACATTCCTACTACAGCCACATTATCGGCCTCTAAAGGGGCATCACTAGACATGCGCCCCACATGCTCAAGGCATATTAATGAATTGCCCTTATTTCGTGTATTCAAGTAGTGCTGCATGCACCTTAGTGAGACACTGAATTATTTTCCTATAAGATGTATTATTATATGTAAAATTCCCTGCATAAAATAAGTCATGTAATTAGCTAAAAAAAGAGTTGCAACCAAGTTAAATACGATAAATATAGTTAGCCCAACATATTAGTTTTAAAAATGTAAGATTGATAGTTCATGACAATTGTACATTACCAAAATTGAACATTTGCCCCGTGGTGGTCACACATGACTCTATTCAGGATGGAGGTTATACGAAGTAATATTTTATAAAAATTCACAAGCTGTGGTTAAATGAAAGAAACTCACAAGTTATTACAATTATTTTGTAAATTGTAATCATCAGACATTAGAATTTGATTGAAAAGACATGTTATATACATTGAAGCTGATGAAAATATCTAGAAATTTAAGAAAAAGACTATCAATTACCTTTGTGATCCAACACATAAAACAAACCGTATGAAGTTCCAACCAGGATATCTAGATTTCCATCACCATCTAGATCAATTACTGTGGGAGAAGAGTATATGTAGGCACGGAATGTTCCCGTATCAGTACTCAGATCCAGCTGTGTGCTCCATTTAACCTGCTTGGTATCCAGATCAAAAACGACAATACCACCAGCAACATATTTTCCAATTTCTAAACCTCCGAGTTCATTCAAGTGTTCAGGATTATCATAGTATCTGCAAAATTAATATTATCTGCTCAAAGTTATTAATGTGAAGTACAAACATTATATGAATGTGAATAAGGGGAACCACATGTTTCAATCAAAAGCTTTCAAAAGGTAAGAAAGTGTATAGCATAGGGGAACTACTCCTTCTAGTTCTTCTTATAAAACCATAGTCAAAATGCAACTTTTTCATTATCACTTTCCAGTTAGGCCCTTAATGTGATTTCAACTACAAAAGCAAATCATTTTTACGAATAAAAAAGGGTATTTTTGGAAACTTCATCTTGAAACTTGTGAAATCCCTTATAAACGACCAAAGAATCCTTCTAAAAAGTGCCTTATAAAAGGGGCCGGGGAGAGTTTATGTCAATAGATGCATTATATGGGAATTATATATTTATACTTGTGAAGCTCAGATCTAAGCACTCAGTTTTAACTATAAAAATCTATTTAGGATTTTAGGGGAAAACTCTCTTACTCGTGGTCAAAGAAGTACGACACTGCAACAACCATTTCTGAAACACCATCCTTGTCAATGTCCGCTATAACCTGGAGCAAGTTTGCCGGTGTTGATGAGTCATGGTATATCACGATATAAACTAGTAATAATATTCAATTCTATCAAACTTACTGGAGTGGACAAAACATGTGCATCAACATTCACATAATTTTCTAACTTTTCATGTTCTTCTTCGGCCCACTCCTCGTCTCCCCACATGTTCTCATCAACATAATCATCATAATCATAATTATATTCATCAGCCAGCTCATCATTATCTCGGAATAAATCGAAGGATGAATCGGCATCTGTGTCTAAGCCACCATCATTTTCCACAGTGGCAGCATGACCATTCTGGTCACCAGATTTTTCTTCAAGAAGGCTTCTCCTAGTGTGAGCCTTCTCAACATTGGTAATTGTTTCATTTGAAGAACCGATGGACGTGTTTGTAATGTTCTCTGACATATTAGTGTCAGGATCTGTTTGATTGTCACTTCTCACCCTTTGGTTATCCACATATGTTGCATTCACGGTGTTATTGGAAACTCCATTTGGCAAAGAAATTGAACCATTCGTATTTTCGAGCTGAGCTTCCTTAGGTGTAGACAATTTTTCATGATGAGCTTCCTTGGTAGTCAAATTCAGTTGAGAATGAATTTCTCCAGTTGTGTGAGAACCGTTTCCACCATGAGTAGCACTTCTATTTTGTCCTGCAACAAGCCATATAGCAGCTCTCAAAGGAAGTCATTGCTGGCATGTCAATGTCTAGAATTGAGAATTGTTCACAATGAACAACCTCACTGTATTTTCTATGTTTTTTTCTCTATTTTGTGTGGGTGCATGTGGGGGTGGGGGGAAGGGGCAGAACTAACGGGTTAGTGATTCGATGAGCGCATCTTCAATGAGCTGGCCATCATGAACATCTGGATGAGAGCGATCTACAGGATCTGGTTGTAAACCCACATACCAATCCTTTTTAACTTTAAGCCGCGGAATCACTAGTTTGTCAGACATCACATAGCCAGATGCCCTATTAACAATTGTTTAAGGAAACATTCCAGAAAATGTAAATCAAAGAGAATAGAGCCATATGATGAGCAAAGTAACAACCAATTAAACAATTCACACACAAAACTTTAAGAGAGAGGGCGAGACAAGCGGTTGTGAGCTGGGTAAGAAGAGATAAAGATTATTACCTGAAAAAAAGAACCTCACCGTTGTATGTGGCTAAGCCTATTTCTCTTACACCGTCCTTGTCAATGTCAAATAGGAAAGGACTAGAATGTACAGTTGATTGATGGAACGCCGGCCACCCTAGATCCAAAAATGAAAATAAAAACACAAGCATAGTTAGCCCTCATTAACTTTGTGCCATCATTAGAATGGGATCTTAAGTGTTATTATATCATTATGAAACAGCCTCCCTACTTTTAAGTAAGGATAAGGTCTACTTACACACACCCTCCCTAGACTCTACTTCTGTAGGATTTTACTGAGTTGTTGTTGCATCATTTATCATTACCTTTTCATTGTCATTCAGACTAAGCAATATCAGTACCTTAAATCTCCCAAACAGTTTAGGCAAATTTTAAGTGCACTTGTAAGTTGAAATTAATGTTTACAGGACCATACAAGTGCATTTATTTTATAAATTTATTGTAGACAACCAATATTGTTGGTGTGAACTCAACAGAAACCTCAAAAACAAAACAAACAAAAAAAACAAAAGTACCCGGAACTTTATCCCCATCAGAACCTTCAAGAACTTCCAAGTAATGAACAAAAGAAGGAACGACCACTTCAAGCTTCCCATCACTAAGAAGAAAAACTCATTTATTACACAGAGGATTCTACATGAAAGAACACTAATAGAGAAAATGAACAAAAGTGTGGCACAGATATATGCAAATTATAATCATAGGAGTAAAAAACACAAGGAAATTCACTCATAAATAAGATAGTAATCATCTTTGCAGTATAGTATCTTTCTTATAGCTCATTTGTGTGCAGAATTTGATATCGGAAACAAAACCACAGGAAAAGAGATAGAATTTGTCTCATTAAAATGCCACAGGAATTCACAAATCACATATAACTTTTATGAGTGATTAATTAAGCAAAACTAACTGTTAAATTGAACAGAGAAGGAAAATGGTTTTAACAATGGTTTAAGCCAGGTCAATAGAAAAGAGGGGTTGAACTTTTGAAATTTTGTGTAACACTATATATTTCTTTAAATCTTTCCAGTAAATTTGAATGACTGTAATGCTTTCATTAGACAGCTCAGGACTAAGATGAGCCTGAGTTTCTAGTAACTTCTATTAAATTTACTTTTGGTCATAAATAATACGTAGTAGCAGGCTATTAGCGTGAAAAACAAGATACGCATTGAATACAGTAACATAATAAGCATCTGTAGTAGAATGCACACCGTGGCACCTAAAGCCACAATCATTTCCTGACCTGTTTATATCCGCAATCAATGGTGAGGCATATATGCTAGAACTAACTTCTGTCTGCCATCGCAGCTCTAAATGCTGAGGGCACTGTGTATTCAACAACTCATCCTCGTACCTACAAACCAAAAAAAAGGTGTTAGGTTAACATAATAAAATTGAGAATAATTCAGTTCCAGATGCGCGAACAAAAAACACAAAAGAAAAAACAGCATTTCTACCTGCAGTGATTGGCAGCAGCTTGGCAAGCAAAGATATAATGAAAATGCAATTGTATATCAAATAGCTAACAGCTATTACCAAGTAAAATTACTGAATGACGTCAAACAGCTGAAAATGCATAAATCTTGCCAAGATGCAGTGTTCAAATTCATCATATTTTAATATGATTCGCGAAGGAAAAAACTCAACTTCATGGAAAAGTGTTGAAGACACTTACACATTGGGGTAGCCGAGGGAATCATCGGTGGCCTCCCGCTCTCTAAACTTGTTTTTGGTTTCCTTCGAATGCGAAAATGAGAAATTCGAAGATAGAAGGAGAAAGATGAGAATAAAAGCCCTGCCTTTCATTAAGATCGATGGAGTAGCTCAAACTCCAGATGCTGAAATTTAAGAAGACGAAAGGCAAAGATGAAATCACGAAATGCCGAACTGGAAAGCAATTGTTACTGTTAATACGAGACAGTGAACATAAGCCCTAGGCCTTTGGGGTTTGACACAAGGGCAATTTCCGATGACGAAATCTGCAAGACTGAAACTAGTTTTGTGACTTCTCTCGGAGATTCTCAAAAAACCAAAAAAACATTTTTTTGGTTTACAGTGACAACAAAGTTGGAAAATGCTTGGTTCACAAAAACAATGGTCACAAATTTCACCAACAAAGTTACACCAAAGGTATATACTGACATTTTTATTGTTCATATTGACACAAAATTTTAGTGCGTTAATAAAAATTTGTACTAACATTTTGTCTGTGTGAACTATCAACCTAGTATTACACTAACACAAAATGAAGGTGCAAACCTTTGAGGTACAAGTTAATATACAAATCTTGGGATACAAATAGCTTAATCCAAACCAAAACTTCAAAAAGCATCAAATGTCACGGGTACTACCATACTACTGTGGCAACCCCTAACCTCAACCCTAACTCACCTCCCCAATCCCACAACCTCCAGGTTTATTTAATTTTGAAATCAAAATTTTGAACTCAAAGTTAAATAAACTTGGAAGCGCAATTGAAAAGGGTGAAGGGTGGGTTCGGGTCGGTGAAATGTTAAGAAAGGTAGAAACCATCAATATTTTGAATAGAGCATTGTAGGTGTCTTAACATGACATTGTGAGGAATGTCACAAGAACTTGGGTGAACTAGAAAATAAACTAGAGATAAAATGTAAAGAAATTATTACGTATTAAAGGTTTAATTTGGCATCAATCTTATGTCTAGTGATGCACGGAGTATTATAATGTCGGTTAAACGAACAACACAACAACAATGACTATAGTTGTGGGCTAAGATTCCGACGAAAGATCACATCTGCAGATTATGGTTGTAGTAGCTGCGATCCACAGACGACATATTAGGAGCGACCTCTGAAATTTTGTAAGACAAGAAAGATACATGCTCACTGTGGTATTATGTTTTTAACTCTCACATTAACTCAAATATCATAGAAGATCAAAAAAGACTATTTGTGGAAACTATTTATAAAAGAATGACTATAGGCGTAATATTTAATAATAGAGAATTAAATATGAAAATCATCATGTTATAAAGTATCAATTATGGAATTTACTCTTAAAGGAATCTTTTGTCTTTATTTTCAAAATAGGAATTATAATATTAATAGTGTCAATATATAATATAAAAAATACTATGAAATGTCATTATATAGTACCACATTGTCACAATACAAACTCTTATTCTAGGATAAAAGTATATCACTCTTATTTTGAGGATAAAGACTATATTTTAATCTTATTTTGGGTTTTTTCTTATTTTCACATAATTAGCCTATTTCCCAAAATTAAAGTCTCAATTCTCCAAAAATAATGTCTTATTTTTATTTTTAAATTACATAAGTCATTAAAGATACCACTACCTTCATCCTAGTTTTGTCGTTCGGTTTGACTTTTTCAAATAAAACTGATCGAACTATAGACCCCAATTAAATAAATGTGGTAATGTATAATAATATAAAAACAACACCACGATTCTTTTGACCCGAGATATTTTGACTTAAAATTATCTAGATCATCTACAATGCTTCGTTGATAAAATTGATAGTTCATACCTCTCCTAACCTGCCCACCCTAGCCCCCCTCCCCCTTAGTTGAGGAGGCGAACGCGGTCGACCGTCTTATGTCCACGAGAACGGCCCTAGACGTGGTAGTCAAAGCAACACTCGAGGCTAGCTGGGGTCGCGTCCTCCACAGGAACTTCTGGTCTGTCATATTCGTGACATGCGAGGTCGTTCTGCTGCTACCTACTCGTATTATTTTGATGGTTCTTATGCCGAGAATACCTTTACTAGCACATCTCGCATTATGCATGCTACCACAAACAGTCAATCTGGTGATTGATATCCTGATACATGCACCAACACTCATGTCACACATGATCTATCACAGCTGCAATCTCTTACTCCATATCATGGCACCAAAAGTATCACTGTAGGTTATGGTCACACCTTACCCATAACACACACTCACTCTAGCTATATTCACGTCCTCATGGTAAAAATCATCATCTTCCCTCCCTTAATCATGTACCTTCTCTTACTTCCAATTTATTATATGTTCATTGCTTCATCAAAGACAATAATTGTACCCTTGATTTTGCTACCAATATTTTCCAAATAGTGTACAACATCACGAACCAGGTGCAATATGCGGGTCTTTGTGAACACGGACTATACACCCTCCTTTCCAAGTCCATGTTATTTGTGTGTCAAGCCATTACAGCGTTTACCTGGCATCGTAGACTTAGTCATACGACTCTAGCTATTGCTAAGTGTATCTTGTCCTCCTTAGATTTTAAATTTTCTGATCAATCACATTGTGAGTAATGTTGTGTATCCAAGTCTTGTCGTTTAGCGTTTGAATTGTTTGAACACAAAGCAAATGTGCATGTTCAATTAAAACTTTTTTATGTTTGGGGATCGACCTCTATACCATCTATTAGTGGTTTTCGATTTTATAACTCCTTTTTTTATGATTTCAGCAAATTCGCATGGATTAACCCACTTAAACACAAGTCCGAGGCATACTCAATCTTTGTCAACTTTGGAAAAATGATCAAAATACAATAATAAAAAAAAATTTGTTAACACTCCTTTTTGGAATTTTTCTTTAAAAATTGGAAATTCTCCATCATACCTCATGTCCGTATACCCATGAGCAAAATGGGACCGCAAAGCGCAAACATCATCATCTTATTGAGATTATCGTCGTCCCCTTGCTCTACGACTTTCATGTGCCTACACCTTTTTGGGTTGATGCCTTTGCTACCGCTAATTAACTAATCAACCAATTACCAATTAGGAACCCGGAAAACAAATCTCATTTTGAAACATTGTATGGTCACCTTCCTGATTACGCCTACTTCCGCTCACTCCCTTTGAGTACTTATACTCCAAGCTACCCCTCATCTCCGTTGATCAACTTGCAAAGTGGGGGGATAATAGAAAACAAATATTATTTATTACCTTCTGTATCCTATTGTTTCCTTATTCTATTGTTACCATAATTCCCATTCTACTATGATTAGAATTTTCTCTTGTAATCCCTATATATAGGGTATATTCTTCATTATTTAATAAAACCAATTATTATAAAATTGTTTCATTAATGAAGGCATTTTCACCTTGAGATGCAAACTTAATTGATTACATTTCCTTCTAATATGCATAATGTAGAAATAGAAAGGTTTTAATCTAATCAAAACCCAATATATGGGAATTTTAGCTTTGAAATATCTACCTAGACTAACTTTATAACACCCTAATCTATCCAGATCTGCAGTCCCTTTCGGACTAAAGTATTAACTTGGTAATCGTAAAAATTTAAACTTTTCAAACACTTTTATTTATCATAATAATATTTTTCATAACATATACAGTATTCAACAATATTGCAAAAGTGAATTTGAATATTGTCATATTATAATAAATCATTTCAAGACTTGTCACATCCATCCAGATAATCTTGCCTCATCTGCCACCAGGATCACATTGTTCTTTTTGTTTACCAGCGTGTAGCAATTTAAAAATACTACAAACTCAGTGTTGAAAGTGAGTAAGCATATCTAATGCATCAAACATCCATATAAACTGAATCTAAATTCATAATCAAATCACTTGATATCATGCACACAATGATCAATTCAGACATTCACAATTTTGATATTCTTCAGTTCATATCAACATTTTTTATTCAATTCAGATGTTTGTATTATTTTGACAGTGCTCCTAAATTACTCTCAATCTAAGACCAAATAACAACGCTCTTAGCTATTCTTAGTCTAAGGCTAGATCATAACAACGCTCTTAGTTATTCTTAGTATAAGGTCAGATCATAATTTCATTCTTAGATGCTTAAACTATAATTAGTTTAAGGCAAACAATTCTCAGACGCTTAAACTATAATCAGTTTAAGGCCATAGTTCTTAGACGCTTAAACAATAATTAGTTTAACGCAAACAATTATTCTTAGACACTTAAACTATAATTAGTTTAAGACAACAACAACAAGACAATGATTAATCATCATTGAGTCAAAATATTTCCAAACGAGTGATCCTCCAATTCGGTCTACGAATTTTGTTATTACGTTTTTATCCAAATCACAAATCTATTCTAATCTGAGATCTATTCTAGAGGTCTACTAGATAGCCTTAACATCAATTGTCTAAATGAGTTTATCTTAGAGTTCTTCTAGATACTCTTAACAATACAAATCGTTTCATACACTACAAGAAAACGCCAAAACAACGACGGATTGCAGCGACGGAATTTTGTTCGACGCTAGTAGCGACGGCTTTAGCGACGGAATAAAACGCCAACCAAAAGTAACGACGGAAATAAAGATCCATCGCTCGGTATTGGCAGGAGTTTGTGCGCGGCATTTTTGACGACGGATTTACCGACGGAAATTTGCGTCGTTAGTTTTAGCGACGGAATATTTCCGTCCCGAACGGAATTTTATTGAAACGCTGCGTTTTGGCCTACATTCCGTCGCTTCAAAACAGATCTATACCCTTCCTTAGCCAGTTTCACCGAGTCGAAGGTCTCTAGTCTGCTGTCCAAATCGCTCGCGGTTCTCCCCCGCCGCGCCGTCCGCTCGTCGTCTCCGCCTGCCACCATCAATCGCCGCCGCCGGTCCTCCTTGCCGTCCGGTCATCGTCGGTTCTTCATCCCAGGTTTTTTTTTTCAACTTTTCATCTCTTATTCAAATTATATTTGTGAATTATTATTTTTATTATAATTGTATTGTTTACATTAGGGTTTTTTAAATATCATATTTTGTTTATAATTACAAATTTAGTTTTAATTTTATAATTATTTAAGGTTAGGGTTTGTTATTCAAAATTTAGTCATTTGTTTTAACAAATTTAATTATATTCCTTAAACTTTTAGTGAACCAATATTGTGCTTACTAATTGTTTAATTTGTTACTTTATATATTGTAAGTTTTATAGGAGGAATGAATTTATGCTAATTAATTGTTATATTTTACATATTGTTAATGTTACATGAAAATTGATTGTGTATGTATTGTGTATGCTACGTTGTTGAATATTGTAGTTGTTTCGATCCATTTATATTATATTTTTTATATTATATTTTTAAGTTTGTTTGAAATGAATTCTATAACTCAATAGTATGTTAATTTTAATTATTTGTTTGAATTTCTCAGAATGAGTGACTTTCACGAAAATCGAGATTGGATGTATAAAAGACTTGATAGCTCAGGTTTTATAAATACAGACTGGGTTGACAAAGTTAGACAATTCATTGAGTTTTGTGAGTCAAATCCAAAAGTAGACAGATTCAATGGGCGGATGCGTTGTCCTTGTAAGATTTGTAAGAATAAATATTTTAAAGATATCGAGGATATTAAGCTTCATGTACTGAGACAAGGTTTCACTCCTAAATATCTTGATTGGGTTTGCCATGGGGAGGAACATGGTGACTATACGAGCCATCATCGGCGCCGTAAATCTGCTCGTACCTTTGTTGAGACCGAAAGGGCAAAATACATGAAGATGGTGATTGATGCTACGGGGCCTTCCTTTAATCCTAACGTTCCAGTTGAGGAGGAACCAAATGCTAGTGACAAAAAAAATTTTGACATGCTAAAAGCCGCTGATACCGACTTATGGAAAGGTTGCACTAAAATGTCCCAACTCTCGACGGTTGCAAGATTACTCAATATTAAGGCAGAGCACAATTTGTCTGAGAGGTGTTTAGACACTATTTGCCAACTGTTCAAAGATGGACTTCCGGAGGACAATTCAATGGTTTCTGATTTTTATGAGACAAAAAAACTCATTGAAGGTTTAGGACTACCGGTGGAGAAAATTCACTGTTGTGTCCAAGGTTGCATGCTTTTTTGGGGCCCAGATGCTGAGCTAACTGCATGTAAAATTTGTGAAAAGCCTCGTTACAAAGACTCTATAAAAAAGATACCAAATAGATACATGTTCTATTTTCCCCTAACGCCGAGGTTAAAGAGATTGTACATGTCAAAGAGAACAACGAAGTCCATGCGTTGGCATGCGGAGCACAGTCACGATAGTGATGGAGATATGTGCCATCCTTGCGATTCTGAGGCCTGGAAGCAATTCAACCTTTCTAATCCAACATTTGCTTCTGAAGTTCGAAATGTAAGGTTGGGTCTCTGCACAGATGGTTTTCAACCTTTCGGGCAATCAGGTTCTCAATACTCCTGTTGGCCAGTAACGGTCACTCCTTACAATCTCCCGCCTAATATGTGCATGAAAGAGGAACACATATTTTTGTGTGCAATAGTTCCGGGTAAGTCTAATCCCAAACAAAAGATTGATGTTTACTTACAACCATTAATTGCAGAATTGCAGATGTTGTGGTCCGAAGGCATTGAAACGTTTGATGTGTCGTTGAGTCAAAACTTTACGATGCGTGCTGCACTATTATGGACTATTGGAGACTTTTCGGCGTTGGGAATGATGTCTAGTTGGAGCACTGCTAGGAAAAAAGCATGTCCGGTGTGTATGGAAGAACTACAATCATTTCGACTTCCAAATGGTGGCAAACAATCTTGGTTTGATACACACCGTAGATTTTTGCCAGATGACCATCCCTATGGGAGAGATAAGAAAAAATTTATGAAGAATAAGATTGAGACTCGTCCTCTTCCTACTTTAAAAACTGCTGCACAAATATTAGAGGAGATTGAGAGGCTCGGATTGAGAAGGATTGTGGAACCTGGGGCAGAAGAGACAAACAAAGATGTTAGTAAACACCATCTTTGTGGTTGGAGAAAGAAGAGCATATTTTGGGATCTTCCGTACTGGAAGACAAATCTTGTACGACATAATCTTGATGTTATGCACATAGAAAAAAGTGTGTTCAAAAATATTTTTAATACTGTGATGGATGTCCAAGGCAAAACAAAAGACAATGCCAAAGCTAGGGAGGATACAAAGTTATTTTGCAACAGGAAAGAGTTGGAGATGGCGTTGGAGATGGAGGAGGGGCGTGATTTACAGGGGCTTGTTGAGTTTTTAATTATAATTGAAGAACAATATATTAAACTTAAGTTTTATGAATATGTAAGTGGAGTTAAATTTGATAGTTATGTTGAATTTTTATAAATATTATTTGAATTTTACTTGTTTATTGGTGATTTGAATATTCTTGGTTGTTTGGTAATCCTTATTTCCAGTAATTTTCGTTGTTTGATGCTCGGATTTCCGAGTTTTGCTATGGAGGGGTGCGAAATTGGAAAAATAGCAGGTTGCAGGTGGTAAGCTGTCAAATTAGTGACGGAATGAGCGACGGAATTTCAGTTCCGTCGCTATATGGTCAAAATGCATATTCCGTCGCTAACTCCGTCGTTAGCTATAGCGACGGAAAGTATCCGTTGTGAGTTCCGTCGCGAATTTCCGTCGCCACATCCGTCGTAGTCTAGCGACGGAAAATAAAAATCCGTCGTCACACTCACTACTAACGAAAAAATAACGACGGAATCGATTCCGTCGTTACGAAGATCACCTACGGAAATAAGGCTTTGGCGACGGAATTATTCCATCGCCATTTCAGCAGTTTTTTGTAGTGATAATTATCAATGTATTTATTTTACTAATGGTTCAATCATCAATAATCATTTTAATCTATAGATTCATCATTCATAATCATCCATAATAGTCATCATCATAATCATCAATCAACATAACATCCAATAGCAAATAGCAGCCTAGTTTCGAGTGTTAACACCTTAACCTACCGTCATGCATCACATAACATTTTATTTGTTAAAAACATCAGTTTCATGGTGAAAAATCATCTTTATACTGTTCATAGTTAATTGGTATCAAAAATAGGATTTTAGAGCTCAAAAATAGCATTTTCAGAGGTATTTTCAGAGCAAAGTTTTGGGGATCGATCCAGCACTTTGGATCAATCTAGACTAGAGAAAACAACACCCAGGGGATCAATCCAGATAGCGTATTTTTCGGTCACTGTTCATCATCTTCTTCCTTCGGGTCCAATTTCAAAAATACCATTTTTAGTTACCAAATTTCAATAAAAACTACATAGAATTGTTCTCAAAAGTTCATAGATCATTTTGGAATCATTAATTCATAATTTCAACAAAAATTTCATGGTTTATGATTCTTGGTTCTTCAAGCATGTCAAACACAAAACTCAACCAAACAACCGTTTATGAACGTAGAAACGATCTATACAAACATTTTAGTCACTAGATATATCTACGGGCTTATCTCGAACTTAAATAGAGGTTTTGGAAATTTTCCGGTGAAACTTCCGATGACGATTACTCCCAACTCCTGCAACCTCTCTCCAAAATGACAGCAACACTGCACTCTTCTCTCAACAAAGAACATAATAGAAGTCTCTCTCAACAAAGAACATAATAGAAGAAAGAATGGAGAGGATTGGTGAAGAAATGAAGGAGCTTGGGTTCTCTTATATAGGAATGATGATTGGAAACAAGCCAAATTTACGTTGCTTTCTTTCCTTGTGTAATCGGCTGAGTGGAATGAGCGACAATTTGTAGGATTTTACACCCACTATCTGATGGGGACTAATTTGGTCCCTAGTCGTGGTATACTTTTTGGTACTCCCTCCGTCCCAAATTATAATGCCTGTTTACTATTCACAGGGTCAAACTTCATTCACTTTCTTTCTCTATTTTCGTTAGCAATTTGATAAAATAAAATATTATTGTCACTACTAGTTTTGTAGATCTTTTGATGTAATTTTTTAATATGTAATTTTTATTTTTTAATTCTATTCCATTTGTCATATAAAATGGTTTGAAAATAATTTCAGTCAAACATCGTAAACCGAAACAGGCGTTATAAAATGGGACGGAGGTAGTACAACTTTCTTTGAATTGAAATAATTTACACCATTGAGATCACATTTTTTATATTTATTTATAATATTTTTCCGACATCATATTTTTAGGTGGGACTTTGACAGAGTCAAAATTAATTTAGTTGACCTTTATTTAAAAAGGTTCTTACATTCAAATCATAGTATTTATTCTCATGATTTATTTTAATAAATAATTTCAAAGTTCACATAATAACAATTTCTTTATTTATTTTTGATTTGGGTTGGTATTCAAGTTCTCATCAAGGTCACACAATAAGTCAACATATTAGATTTATATCTATAAAATTTATCCTGATATTGTTATTGGATATCTATATATATTTCATATCGGCTTAGAGACTAATTTATTTTAATCAAAACAAAGAGATGAAACCTAAACTGGACTAGGAATCATATTACATGCTAGGCATTAAAATAGCATAAACAAATAATGTAAGCAAAACATAGAAGTGGGAAATTATATAAAATTTAGAACTGGGAAGATGGGAAAGAAAGAGAAACAGCTTCATAAAATGCCAATGTTTATTTTCCTTTCCAGTAAATTCAAGTAACTATTTTACAGTCCCATGCCTGGATGATGATGATGAAAAAAAACAGCATAATGGAGATTTATGTCATACAACCATGTTTCATGTTCTCAATGAAAAAACTATACCCTCTTTTTATATATTTTGTGTAAAATACTCAGTCTGGAAGTGAGGACTTGATTTCAAGAACTCTCTCCTTTGCTACCATCAGTTTGTTCTTCTTCAGGGGTGCTGGCGCTAGATAAAGTTTTGGGTGCAGCAACAGGGGAAGAATCAATCAAGCTTGCGGCTATTGCGGCTTTCAAATCTTCGTCTTCTCGCTCCTTGCTGGACTGGTGGAGATATCTGGGCTGCCTCCCTCTGCCGCCGCTACCTGAGCTGCAAGACTTTGTAATCCTCTCGGCATCTTCAGGCGTGAGCCACTGTCCATAGCCATTAGATGCTTCAGAGGAAGTGATTGGACAGTCCTTGGGGAAATTTCCCCTGACCAAAAAGATGCTCCACCCAAAGCCTTTCAAAGAATCGAGGTAAGCTGAAAGGTAAAACTTGGAGAGGTGTTCTGGGGCTGCGTACAGACTATCAAAGTTATACCACTCTCCGTTCACTTTCCGGATGCAGAACCAATGGTCTTGCAAATGACAGATAAATGCATTTTCGAGTTCTGGGTCAATTTGAGCATGCTCTGCCACTGGGCTGTCCAGTGGAATTACTTGCAAATCCCACACCTCCAAAGCCTTTTCCAAAACCTGTAAGTAGCAATATTATTAATTTAATTGAAATTTTCAAATTTTCCCATCTTTGCCTTTTTACTCTGTCAACTGATCACTTTTCCCAATGTTTTGATTTTAAAGAGTATTTATTCAAACTATTTTATACCACTCTCTGTTCAGTTTCCAGAGTTTGTCAAAAGGTACAAACAGCTTGAAGTGAACCAACAAGAACAACATTGTGTAAACATGAATGTTGCTGAAATTATATACCAAACCAAATAAAATAAGTGGGGCAAGATGTATGCATAATATCTTGTAACACTCACCCATGTGGATGGTTGTCACAAAAGTTTACCGTTTTAGAAAAACAGTTCCCATTTCAAGTTAACATCTCCATGACAGTAATAAGGTTAATGTTTATGGAAACATAATTCAGAGCATATCATTGGTGGAAATGCTCATACGAATCTCAGCATTTGTAAGACATAATAGATTATTCATGAAAAAATCAGTAGGATATATTTAGACAAAACCAGGCTCGTGCACATGCATTAACCCTGCTGTCTCACTATGCCAGAACTCCAACATGATAACCTTGCTCAGCTATGTGTAGAAAAGAAAAATACACACACAATACATTTTCTGAGTGGTACATAATATAGCATACGACAGATCAACACATAAGTATGCATAAAACTGCATCTTAATAAGGAATCAAAACCATATCAGATATGCATATTTCATGTGAATCAACTCTTTTTTAAAACTCAGTGTCAGGCTACTGATCCCGGGACCTATGAACCACCCTCTCTGACCCATCGGTAGGTAAGTCCGAGTTTGATCCTGGACAGCGTACAATGTACCTGCTCCAAATATGAGTCTCACCTAGAACCTACATCACCTTAGAAAAAGTTGCTCCTGGGAGAGCCACACACAACCTCTCTTACAACCCCCTTCCCCTTACTACCATTAAACTACCATGTGAGGGGCTAAAACTTTGGAAGGTAAACGTTTTACACTAGCTGGCCCACTGCAGGCCAACCACAAGAAATTCAAACCTTCGCCTTTGACCTCTGCTTGCCCCTACTTGTTTGGTCATACCCAACTTGGGCTGGGATTTTTTAGATCGTTGTTACTAGTGATAAATACAAGAGCAGATTCGAACTCTCAACCTTTTGAGGTGAAAGTGAATCTCTATCGCTAGTAAAAATGGCCTACACGGCAACTTGAACTTAAGACCTTCCACAATGAGAGTCTAAAGTGTGAAGTGGTTATCAATAGACATCAGGGTTTCTATATTGTATATGCTTAAATTTCATTGCAAATTAACTCTGGTAACATATACGTGTAGCCATGGCATGCATACAACTGATACAAGTACCATATTCATGCATCATGCATTTAAATTCCTTAAGAAAACCATTCATGTAATTCCTTAGCCTTTATTGACTTTCCTTTTAAGACTAGACTCTGGCTGAGAATATGAAACTACTCAACCGGTTCTTCTGAGAAGATGAGGTTAGCGGGTAAATGCTGAGCCGTGTGATATCACTCCGTGGAGAAGTGGAAAACAAAGTTGCTATACCAATACAAACTCAATTCGTGGGAATCAAGTTTACTCAAGTTGAACCTTAGGTATCTCAAGACCAAAAGTTCTTAATACATTCACTTTACGATCATTTGAAGGCTTGTAGCACTTAACGAGTTATGGATTAGTCATCCACAACCCACCCTCTGCCATTTCCTCCAAAAACGTTCCTAAGAGGAAAGATATGTGTGGTGTGAGTCCGATAGAAGCTATAAATATGACAAATAAAAGTCTTAATGTCTCACTTCAAGAAGGACTGAAAGTCAAGAAAGCCAATATAAAAAATTTGTCCAATGCTTGAGATGCATTAGTCGTGATATTTTAGGGATAAACTATTTGCAGAGACATGGTGGATCCTTTAAATCAAAGTGTAACCTAAAATATAGTAAACATCCACCATGGTTGACACCAGGTTCGATAGCTGTCAGTCAATTTATTCTCAGCAACAGTTTTCAACAGTTTGGAGTAACTTAGCAGCATCTGGAAATTATAGTTCAGTTTTTGTACGTTTTGGGAATTCTACTAACTCCGTGTGCAAATTTAAGTCTTAAATGTCATCAGTGTTCATTCCGATATTGACTATTCTACTTGTGTTTGTTTGTTCGTTCCTTCGTCCTAGGATTTCTTGCATTAAAGTACGGGTTTGTATTAGCGGTAGATTTGGAATGAAGTCCGAAACTTGGGCTGGGAAGGAGCCCTTTATCATATGCTCCATGAGCCCTTGCCTTTGCATCGAGGACATAAGAAGATTCTGTTGAGTGGAGCCGAGGTGCGAGAGCTTCAGCCTAATAAAGGTTTTGATGAATCGGTATGGTTTTTATGGAGGATGGGGATTATCAATGACAGAGACGATGCTCTTAGAGAACGAAACCGAATTTGAAAGAATCATTACTTATTGTGTTAGATAATTACATGGATCATGTTTACTGTTGGACGAGTGCATATATAGTTCAGTTTCTGCAATCACCTCTGCCTTCTGCAAAGTTGCCGTCCCGGTCTCCTAGGCAGCTTTCTTGGAAAAAAGCTAATACTAAAACGCTTTTCTATTGTCACATTCGGTTATCAACACCATTCATGGAAGTTATATAAATAAAAAAGTAGGGTTGTAAACAAAGTCAAGAATTTTGATTTGATTCATGTTTTTTATTCAAAAAGAATGAAACATATCCTGAAAAAAATGAATAAGAATAAGAATATAAAAAGTTATTAATATTCATTATGTTTTTAAATGTAAATATGTAATTGTTTGATTCCATAACTTTTCAAATATATTCAAAAACAAATATTAACATAATTACATTATACATATTAGTACATTACATATGTTTTTTAGGGCATATAATGATATAGGAGTATGAAGTAAATAGTCAACAAAAACAAAAAGTTTAGAAATAAATATATGTTTGAAACAATGAATATAAATTCATAAATCGTAGCTAGACCTGGCAATTGGGTCAATTGGTTCGGTTCTAGACTACTTTTGGCTTGGATTTGTTTGGTTTGAGTCTACTTTGGGTATATGTGATAACCAATTCGGGCTGTTTTGGTTAAGTTCTGCTTGGGACTGGGTTTAATTTGGTTCTCTACATTTTTTGGTTTGGTTTGGTTATGGTTCGACTCAGACACGGTTCTAGATATAATCAGTTCAGGTATATACCAGTTTGAGTAGATATCAGTTTGGATACAAAATGGTTCTGAGTAGATATTCATCCGTATAGGCGTATAGGACTACAGATGCACAATCTAAACTCTAGCGCATTTCTCATTTTATGATTCGGTTCAAGAATCATTCAATGTAGATTATGATTCAGTTCCCATCTGTTAGGTTTGGGCTTCACTCGGTTCAGGTATAATCGTTTCAGGTCTATATTGGGTTTGACTAAAGTAGCGTTGGTTCCGGTTTGGTTCGAGTCATATCAAATTTCAGTTATAGATCAGGTATTCATTTCTTCGGGTCATTTCAAGTTTGGGTTTGGGTTATCCAGTTTGGGTAATTAATCTTGGGTTTGCTTTGCAATATCTAGTTAACGAATAATTTTACTTTGATTCGTAAATTGTATTAAAAACAATGATTCACATTCAAACAAATGATTTAGAATTAAAATACAAATAGTTATTATTATTCTTTATACCCCCTTCCATCCAAAAAAATTCTTCCCACTCTAATTTTTCATCTTTCCAAAACTTTTCTTCCCATTTTCTTTTTTGGCAAATCTTTTACCTAAAAAAACATTACTACCCCTATTCACTACTACCCACTAACATGCCATCTCATCTCCTTCATCACCCCCAAAAACACATTTTCTTCACTGCCGCCCCTGCCTTCTCATCTTCATCATCACCCCCCAATCTTCTTCATGCCCCCCTTCATCTTCTTCATGCCCCTCTTCATCTTCTTCACTCGTCTCTCCCCCTGCAATTCATCTTCTTCCATTGTCAGATCTTCTAGCTCAGTTGGCTGTCTTAGTACTGGACCCTGCGATTCATGTTCTTCAAGTTTAATCAAGTTTGGACCGATTCCTCCTATTTGTCATATTCAACCACTCTTTTTTTTCTTGTTTTCTTTCATGTCATCAATAATCAGATTCGTCATCTTCCACCAACCATGGTGGCATACTCATTGTTTTCACCTTCCACCTCGCTGGTTGCTGACAAATCCATCATCCTCGGTCGCCTGCTCATCTACAGCTGTTGATTGCGCAGATCTGCTCATCCGACATCGTTGCCACTGTCAATGGTCAGATCTGCAAATACTCCGTCGTTGCAACTGCCACTTTATCTCTGGCTTGCCTTCCTCCACTGCCAATATCTGTGTTAAGGTGTTACAGAGTACGGAGCATTCTGTGCCTTAGCATCGGCGACCAGAAGATTGTGCTACAGTCTACAATTTTGATTGGAACAGTGCAGGGGTATTTTAGGAAAGTCAACACAAATTTGAACTTTTCTTAATCTTTGTACCTGGTCAAAACGGGAAGTAACTTATTGGACGGAGGGAGCATTTGATTTGATTCAATTCGTTTACAACTAGTTCTAAAGCTCAAATTGAGATACAATTTGTAAGCCTACAAATTTTAAAACATAACTTTACCTTCTCTCTCTCTCTCTCTCTCTCTCTCTCTCTCTCAAGCTCCATCTCTCTATTCAAGACATTAATGAGTTCCGAAAAAAATCACTTGAATCACATATTTGGAGAAAAAATTTACTTCGATATGAAAAACTCATCCAGCCTACAAATTTTAAAACATAAATTTACCTTCTGTCTTTGTTTTATCCCTTAAATAGAGGTTCCTATTTTAGTAGTTTGCCAATCTCACTCTTTCTGAATCCAATCTCATGCCTCTCTTCTCCAAATGTAGTCATCTCTTCCCCTTTTTAATTAGAGGCACGAACCTTTTATATTTCTTTTTCTCCCGCACATGGTCCTAAATTAACCTAATCTGCTTCATATGTCATTTATTCGTGCTTTGTGTCATCCATGTTAATTTGCTTCACAATTCTCGAGTTGGGGGTCTCTTGGAAACAACCTCTCTACTTTCAAGTACGAATAAGGTCTACGTACACCCACCTTCCACAGACCCTACTTTATGTGGGATTTCACTGGGTTTGTTGTTGTTGTGTTACTTGGACATCAGACCTGACATCTTCTCAAGTTTCAACATTGTCTCCATCAAATTTTCTCAAAAACAAAAGTGTAACTTTATTTCTGAATGGAAGGAGTAGAAAAGTCTTAGTAGGCTAAATAATTCAAAAATATGAAGTCTAACTTAATTTTAAAAAATTAATTTTTCTTTATTAGTATGTTACTCACTTTTCTCAAAATAAAATTCCCAAGTTTCCTTGTTGATTGGAGGAACTTAATATTACGGAGTAATTGATTTTTTACAAGGAGCCAAAGCTCAATTGTGAGTATAGAACATAATGAACAAATGAACAATAAGAAAAGGATTATCAATCCAGCACAAAAAAATAAACACAGAACTAGAGCCCTAACAAGCATACAACAACAAACCCAATAAAATCCTACACGAATAGGGCTGGGAGAGTGTTACCAAGATAGCCTGTCTCAAACACATAGGCACAGATAAAAGCCATTGAAAGCTTATTAACTAAGTTTCTAAAAATAAACTTTCAAATATTAAATTATCATATACTCTCTGTCTCATTACTAATTTATCAAAAGTTAACTTGTTGATTTGTCTCAAAAAGCGAGTAGATCTACCAAAGGTACCCCCACCTCTTCCGTTGCATTCAGCGACTTAGCTCAGACTAACACATGTATTTTTAAAACTGACTTTTCCTCCAATCTGGTTATCTGCTAGTTGTCATTCAAAGAAGAGAATATTGGGGTGGGTGTGTGGGAAAATTAGGAATGAGAAAATCACAAAATTAAGAATGAGATGATAAGAACAAACTGAAAGTAGCATTATTGAAGATGAGATGTGAGCAAATGTTTTGAGATGAATTGGCAAGATCTAGACATCCAGAGGGCACATTTATTAGAAGGTGTGAGGGGCTGAAGCTATGCAATACAAGTTATGAAACATATATAGAGCAAAGGAAAAGTTAAGTTGACTTGGATCAAGACACTTAGAAGAGACTGCACGACGATGTGGCTTGTAGAGGAGGGTAGACTCTCAATGGGAGAAAACGGCATTGCTTGATTCATATAACCAACCTCACCTAGTAGATAAAGGCTTAGTTTGGTTTGGTATTATTAAATATCCTCACATAGTCCACCATAACACACCGTCTACCATTTCCTCCAAAAAGTTCCAAAGAGGAAAGATATTGACGTGACAAATCCGAAAGAAACTATAACTTGCATGAATAAAAGTCTGAAAGTTTCAGATCATGAAAGACCGGAAGTCAAGAATGCCAAACAGAAAATGTTATGCACTACATGGTGACATTTAAGAGATAAATTATTTGCAGACACAATGGGTATTTTTAATCCAGTGTGTAATCTAACATATATTGATCAAGATTCAGGTGATAGTGACAAATTAGTGTTCTTTAGGAAATTCAAACAACAACCCAATTAGTGCAACTGAATACTCTTTTTCAATATGGCACTAGCTTGCAACAAAATCTCAAAATTCAATTTTTTTCCCCGTGTTAAATTTTTTATCATTAAAATAAAGATTCTTTAAAATTTAAAAGTCATATTATCAATCACACACACACGTAAAATAGAAATAGCCAGTTCCTCAAGTGGGATTTAAAAGTCATATTATCAATCACACACACAAGCAAATAGAGATGCAACTTCCAAAATGTGATATTTTACTAGTGGACTGTTTGGGAACTTAAACTGGGATTTCAAATTCAGATTTGACCTAATATGTTTGGGAATCCAAAAAATAAATAAATTCGGGCCAAATTCCTCTAATTCCCAACAAAGCACAATTGCAAATCCATACACTCCCCTTGTAATTTGAAATCCAAGATTTTAGAATTGAAATCCAAGAACTCAAAAGAAATAAAAGAGTTTGAAGACTGACGGTAATAGAACCTGGATGCTGAAATCTCCGTCTAGTGAGACATTGTGAGACTCCTCTGGAATGAAATCGCCGGTTCCCGCACCTTGAAGCATCATCTGACGCTCCCTGCAATCAAGATCAGATGCGAGCGCCGCCAAATCGAACTCTGAGAAAAATGGACCCTGCAACACAGTGTTCACGCAATGCACGGCGCAGAGCTTAGATTCTTGTACCTCATGGTACAACATCCCGCCATTGCTCGCCGTCTCCAATTCCATTCCAAAATTATTTCAAAATCTTTAACCCCTAATTTCTCTTTACTCCTCTTTCTGCTGTTTGCGTCTGTGCGTCTTCTGTTTTCTGGATGACGATGAGTTGGTGCACGAGAGTAAACCGCGTCCGTCGACCGGAGGGAAAACGATGGGCTCACGCCAAAATGAGTACTCATTTTAGGTTATAAGGGTATTTTTTTGGAGGTAGGTAAAAGTTTTATTAGATAGGTAATGTTAGGTAATTGAAAGTAGGTAATTAAAGGTAGGTAAAGTAAGGTAATGAGTTAAAAAATTGTGTTTGGATGCTTATTAGGTAACGTGAGGTAAGAAAAGAATAAAATTATTAATATATCCTAGTGGAAATAAAATTATTAAATTACTAAAAACCACAAAAAAATACAGAAAAAAAGATGAGAAACGAAAACTGAAAAAGGTAAACAAAAAAATCAAAAACTGAAAAGAAAGATGGAAACTTAAAAAAAAGTGAAATTGTAGTACACAGAGCAAATTAAAAACTGGAAATTGAAAATTGTAAAAAGTCCAAAATTGAAGATTGAAGTAGGTAAGGCGGTAGAGTAGAATGAAAAAAGTGAGGAAAAAAAGGGCAGCGGCGATAGGAATTGAGGAGCAGATGGCGATTGAAATTGAAACAAAAAAATTAACTATGCAGCGATCGGAATTGAGGAGTAGAGCAGATCGGAAGTGAAGGGCAGTTGCCCACCGCGATAATTCGCAGATTCGGCCGTCATATAAATTGCACTGTTAAGAGGTAATCCTACCTCCTTCTACCTCTCCCTACCTCACTTGACATATCTCAATTTTGGTTACCAAACAAGGTAGAATATTAATTTTACCTCCCTCTACCTCTCCCTATCTCCAAACAAACACAGTGTAAGAGTTGGGCTGTCAGTTGGTTAGAATTGTAAAAAAGAACAAAATTAGAACTAAAACATTGAAAATATACTAAAATAAAATTTTCATATTTTTATTCCCGAAATAGGACTTATATTATCAAACATGGTCATGTACATTACCAAAAAAGTATAGTAATGTGCACATGTACATTGACACATTACCACATTACAAAGTTTTATTTCGTGAAAAAAAACATGAAAGTTCTATTTTGCTACTTTTCTCTATGTTTTAGTCATATTTAGGGTGATTTCTAAAAGAAATACGGAGTACTCCCCTACACTCCTTTATATGCACTTTAAAAATATATTTTCCCCAATAAAGCCAACCGGAGTTGGCTACTCCGTTTTGAAGCTTTTTATTTATGTAAACAGATTAGGCTAATCCGTTTCTCCTATTTAATTACCGAACGGATTAGCCAAATTTGTTTCTTTATTTATTATTTTTTTTAATTTTCTTAATGCACGAACGTATTTTGTTTGTTCAAATTTTTTTCCCTTTAAAACTTTCTAACATTTTTTTATAAAAATATTTTATTATAAAAAAAATTTAAATTTTTAGTTTCTGAATGAAAACAATTAACTTTTGTTACTTATAAATTATTTATAAGAAACTAATTTAATTAAAAAATAAAGAAAACATACATAAAGAAGATGTAAGAAAATATACTATAAAAAATTTTTAAAAAATACTATTTATTGACTTTAAGTGATATTTATATAACGGAATTAAAAGAAGAAGAAAAAATACAATAAATTTATTGCTAGAATATAATAATTTATTCATAAAAATAAGATTACAAAACACAATCCATGAATAAATTATTTTGTAAAATTTAATAATACATAAACTCAGACATAACTGAAATTCATGACATAGGTCGGCGAGTTCGTGTGCTCTGTCGTGGCGTTGGCCTCAGTATCTCGTACTCTAGAGTAGGCCATTCAGACTCATCTAGAAGCGGCATTATGATGCTTGAGTAAGCGTTAATGTAGGACTGAATTGAAAAAACATTCGGAATCAAATGATCCACAGTGACACTACAATAATGACATACTGCGTGGACATGACTGCACGGGATGTGAAATGTTACCCATTGACTACAGCTACATGTTCGTGCATTTAAGTTCACTGTAAATGTCTCTCGCTGAGCAATGTTGGACGACCCATCCACCACCACAGAGTATAGTTGTGCACGGTGCTGCACAACACGACAATAAAACCTATTTTCTTCATTTTTTCTAATAAGTTTCCACACATTCATAGGAAAATTGTACCTGGATTGTTGTCATACATATATCCATATATTCGCCTCTCAGCAAAAAGTTTGACCAACTTATCATATGTGAACTTCACAATGGCATAGATGGGCAAACAACGACATCCCTTAAGGACATTATTGAAACTTTCTGACGAATTCGTAGTCATTATACCATAACGTGCGTCACCTTCATCATGTGACAATGCCCTCATGTGTTTTGGAATGGCATTAAGCCAGTTGTAAGCTTCTTGATTTTTAGACGCTATTCGGAGGAGCAACTGGTCAAACTCACTTCTGTTCGGAGCCTCACCAACTTTGTACATCAAGGTCCGCAGCTTCTTACTTCGGAACTTCTTCCAGAAATTGCTTCATAGGTGGCGGAGACATGGGGACGTAGCCTGTTCCGTGCTGATGTGCGGGGTTTGCTATTTGTCTTTGATCGTGGAGGTAATACCACTAACGATACTCAGGTGTGGCATCCCAAATTCCATCAGTACATGGGTAGCGTAACGTCCCTCCCATAGTGTTCGACTTAATGTTATGTAGGTGTCGATCATACACAACATCGAGTGGAACGCGTTGGAGGGAACCAAACTGTCTGCAAAACTGATCTGGATAGTACATCTCTATGACATAGCCATAGATCAAAGGGATGCGTGATATCCATATTCGGAGTCCGGCTGAACAAAAGGGTAGTAGGGTATTGAGATTTGGATATGGCATGGAAACAAATTGCATACATAAAGAAGTAATACGATATACATTTAAAATAAAATATGTATGCATAACATTGAGATGTGCTTATTAGTACTTACCTCTCCCTCGAGCAACCTATCTAGCTGGTCCCTGTATGCTCCTAAGGAGTGTGTCGTACAATCTGGCCACCAATGATAACACACCCATCTACAAGTGGAGGATTAAACATTAACATGAATAAAATAAACTGCGTGAATGCATGATAGACATAAAAAATTATAAATACCTGACTCCATATGGGACTTTAACGAGCTGCTCCAATGGTACAACGCCCCTAGGTCTAGTCATAGGCAAACATTCCCATGCCCAAAGCTGTAACAGGACAAGACACCCTCCAATTTGTGCTACTTGTGTCATGCTAGCACGACACATACTACGATACAAGAAACTAAGAACCGCAGCACCAATGGCACGACCCCGCACCACCACAGAGTCACCCATGATCACCTCCAACAGATAAAAACTAACCTTATTTCCCGTCGTGTTGGGAAATAAGCTGCCACCCAACAACTTAAACATAATAGCTCTAGCATGTTGTAGTTAATCAGCATCTACACTATGATCTGTCAACGCCTTCGGAACAATTACAGATATCTTAATCATAGAAGACGTAATATCAGATGCTTCAGGTCTAAATCCCATCATGTCATCACATATCTGAATCCACTCATCCTTCGATCGACCTATGATCCCCACCAATGGAATGCCATCTACGGGCAATCCAAGCAAAACCTCAACATCTTGCAGCGTAATTCCCACCTCTCCAAAGGGAAGATGGAACGAATGGGTCTCGAGTCTCCGTCTCTCTACTAAAGAAGTAATCAAAGCCCAATCCAACTGTAACCCACCCACTTTCTCCACCCCATAAAACCCATAATCTTGTAAAATCTCAATCACACGAGGTGGTCTATTAGCAACAAGAGTCTTTGTATATAAACTAGAACAAACCCTATGACACTTTAAAATCTCTTTTGCATATTCTCGCTCATAGGTTTGATCATAGGTTTTTTTGTTTTTGTCTGCGTAGGTTTTTAGGCAAGACGGGCTTGATCATAGGTTTTTTTTGCATATCTTTAAGATCTCTTTTGCATATCCTTCGGCGGGCTTGATCATAGGTTTTTTTGTTTTTGTCTGCGTAGGGATGGGATAGAGAAAGAATTGGGTGGATGGGAATGAATTATTAAAGGGACGGAGTTAGGTACTCCATATACATTTAATTTTTAGGCAAGACGGAGTACGCTACTCTGTATGCTTTAAAGTTGGTTGAAACGGATTTAGGTACTCCGTATGAATTTATTTTTTAATAAATAAAATAGACACGGAGTTCGCTACTCTGTTTGGGTAATTAATTCAAGTGGAAACATAGTTACGAACTCCGTATGGCACTGCAAGCAAAATTTTTCCTGACTTACACTGTCAGGAATAGAATATTTTTTTACATATATCAGTCATTCTCTCCCCTACAGGCTACAACATTTTGACTTACACGAATTGATTCTCGATTGGAATAAGTTTTGATATCAAATTATAATTAAATCTATTTCTGATCTGATAAGTTGAGAGAATATGGCCTAAATTAACTTTCAATCTTTAAAGCCCCACTCTCTTTAGTTTATTTTTTTCAATTATTACTCCTTAATCTTTTTTAGTTCTTACCCATACTTTAAGCTATATGTAATGCTCACTACCGCTCACTATAAATCAACCGTGACTAAACACCACATCATAGCTCTGCGTGTACTTACCATCTCACTCACTTCACACTTGTAATGCCTCACCACCACTACAATGATAACAATTTTATTTTTAATAAATAATTACTCATTTCTATTTAAAATAAATCATACTCCCTCTGTCCCCGAGTTTATGTCCACTTTCTTTTTGGAACAAATACCAATGTAATGGGTCTAAAGTCATAATTACCCTTTGGGCCCCCTTCACAACCAGGACCCCAATTGGTTGTTGCACTCACCCCGATAGCAAATGTCACACCTGCCACCATGTCTCACCTAGTTTGGCCACACAACCTGTCTCCAACATTGTCCTCCGGCAAAAATAAAATACATATCAAATCTGAATTCTTGATCTGAAACTTTCAGGGAAAAGGACACTCAGATCCAAGTCTTTATTTGGATTTCCATATGGACTCTCATATTAGATTTTTCAAGATGAATTAAAGGAATAAGAGAATCAGATCCAGTTTAGATCTGGATGGTTTGAA